TTTTTATGACTTTTTATGCCTTACTATACCATGAAATTTTTAAGCCTTATTATACTATGAATTTTCATGCCTTACGATACTATGACATTTTTATGACTTTTTATGCCTCACTATACTATGACCTTTTTATGACTTTTTATGCCTTACTATGCTATGACATTTTATGCCTTACTATTCTATGACGTTTTTATGACTTTTTATGCCTTACTATACCATGAAATTTTTAAGCCTTATTATACTATGAATTTTCATGCCTTACGATACTATGACATTTTTATGACTTTTTATGCCTCACTATACTATGACCTTTTTATGACTTTTTATGCCTTACTATGCTATGACGATTTTATGCCTTACTATCCTATGACTGTTTTTAAGCTTACTATACTATGACTTTATGACTCACTATACTATGACATTTTATGCCTTACTATTCTGAAATTTTTATGACTTACTTTACTTTTACTTTTTATGCCTTATAATAATATGACATGTCATGACTTTAAAATTCTATCTTCTGTACATGATTTTTCTCAATAATTTCTTGTTAAATTTAACCATACATGGAGGGGTGGCTGCTTAGGGCAACATAAAGGCTTTGGCTGGCTCTGCTCACACGTGTTTTTCTGCTCGTGCATGCTGACATATTTTTACACAGAGTGTGTAGCAGGCCGGTTCGGAGCGGACTGCCAGCAGCAGTGTGAATGTGAGAACGGCGGTCACTGTGACACACAGACTGGACAGTGCAGCTGTGGCGCCGGCTGGATCGGAGAGCGCTGCGAGAAAGGTGAGCCAGTGAGTCTCTGCTGTGTAACTGAAGCGAAACTAATGAACCTGCAGAAACTTTGTCATGCATGGGAACAGCTGCACTGTGGAAACTTTGGGACTGGCCATACTGTGTATTTTTGTTAATCATAATCTTTAATTTGCACTGTCCTCTGCTCAGCGTGTGACACAGGCCTGTTTGGTGCTGGCTGCGAGGAGAGATGTCAGTGTGTGCACGGGGTTTCATGTCACCACGTCACTGGAGAGTGTCAGTGTCCTCCAGGGTGGAGAGGAAAACTCTGTGACAAAGGTACAAACCTGTAGTTACAGACACTGTGGAGCTCTTGCAGCCCCTGGTGGATGGAGTTTGTATGGTTATATAATAATGAAGCTTTTACATTTTTAAAACACCAAAATTCAGGATTAGAGAAAACTTTGACATTTCATTTATTCCACTTGATTTTTCTAAATATGATGTATTATGCATTACTTGATATTGTCATTCAGTTTCTCCATATTGTAATTCTATTACTGCTACTGTCTACTTCCTGAAGGAAGGATCCCCTCTCTTGCACTTGTTGAGGTTTTTTATCCTCTTTTAAAATCTCATTAAAGGCTTTTTATAGAGTCCTTGTGTTTCTGGTCAGTGAATTGGTCCAGTGAGGGATGAAATGTGAAATGTGATATTGCTTTGTTTGTTTTCTTTCAGCATGTTTGCCGGGTATGTATGGGAAGAGCTGTATGCAGCGCTGCAGCTGTGCTCAGGGCACATCCTGCCACCATGTCTCTGGAGAGTGTGGCTGTCCTCCTGGATTCACTGGAAACGGCTGCGAGCAGAGTGAGTCCTACAGGACTAATGTTTGTCTGCTAAATCCACTGCTGCCATCCATTGTGAAAACTAAGCAGCTTCCCTGATATTATAAAGTCATTAATGCACAAATAAAACATACTGATGGACACTTTTCTCTCTCAGCTTGTCTTCCAGGAACATTTGGGCAGAACTGTAACCAGGTCTGCCAGTGCTCAGAGACAAACCAGCTCTGCCACCCAGTGTCTGGATCGTGTTACTGCGCCCCGGGTTTCCAAGGTCCCAAATGTGACCAAGGTAGGTAGAAAAGCATAATTATAAACAAGTGTTAACACAAAGCAGTTTAAGAGATGTAACTCTTATTTGTTGTTAACTTTTAGCATGTGGAGAGCAGCATTATGGTCCTAACTGTGAAAAGGAATGCAAATGTGAAAATGGAGGGACATGCGTTCCTTCCACTGGAGCCTGTGAATGTCCAGCAGGATTTATAGGAGCACGCTGCAACATCAGTAAGTCTGCGATGGTGACAGTGCATACATAAATGAGCGATACAGTATGTGGTGACAAGTGTCTGGTGTGTGTCCCGTTGTTGACAGCGTGTCCAGATGGGCATTATGGAGTTGACTGTGCTCGGGTAGCAATATGTGGAGACGGAGCCCAAAACGACCCAGTTACAGGTCGGTGTGTGTGCATCCCTGGACGAAGAGGAGAGGACTGTGGACATGGTGAGAAGGGGCCCTCTGATCATTTCAAAGTCTGGACTCATTTGCTTTCCATTAGTGTCACTGAGGCTGTTTTTACTGTGATGAATTCAGTCAGGTAATTTTCATACCAGTGTAAGGTGTTTTTCTTACTGTACTGAAGTGCAGAAAATGGCTTCTAGTAGGCTGAATATAAAGAGACAAGAGCAGGAATTACTTTGAAGAACAAACACAACTTTTTCGTCATCTTGTATTTGTACTTTACTCGTGATAATGAAGCTTCCATATTTAGCTGGTGGTTTGGAGTAAAGCAGGATGTTTTCTTCAGTTTAATTTGAGTGTGTGTGTTTGGCCTCAGGCTGCTCTCCAGGCTGGTTTGGAGCCGGCTGTGCCCTGCGTTGTAACTGCAGCAATGGAGGGTTGTGTGACTCTGCGACTGGCAACTGTACCTGTGGTCTGGGCTGGACTGGTGCACACTGCGACAGAGGTGACAATACTCACAGTTCACTTTTCTCATTGCAGTCAAGCTCATTTGTTGCATCAGTTTCTGCTCATATATGACCTGCTGTGGCACGCTGAGTCTAAACACAGACGAGTCTTAAGTCATGAATTTGATTTTTATCCTGTTTTTCTGTCTCAGAATGCCCTTTGGGCAGATTTGGTGCCAACTGTCAGCTGAAATGTAACTGTCAGAATAATGGCACTTGTGACAGAGTGACGGGGACGTGTCAGTGTGGTCCAGGCTACTATGGACATCTGTGTGAACATGGTGAGAACTGAAATACTCCTCTGTAACACACACCTCCACTGTTGTACGAAAACTGTTTGTCTGGATGACATGTTCCTTCATTATGGTGAACAGTAACTGCAGTTTGTTTTGGGTTGATCCCACATACACCATCCTGCTGCTGCCTTTTCTACTTGTGATATTCTGCATATTTTATTGAAGCTCTAATATTATTCCACATTTTCTGCAGATCTATGCTTCATTTTTGCATAAAATAAAGTCGGGGGGGGGGCAGCACACTGACCTATCCAGTAATCACTCTAGATGGATCCTCTAAGAATTGATTAAGAGTGAGAGTTATCATTCAAGTTCATATCGACTTCTTCCAGATCACATTTTTCTAAAATCCTCAAGTTTCTTCTTCCAAGGAAATCTGATCCTGTCAAGGTATAGGGTGCCCAACAAATAATTTCTGGTGCTGTAAAATTCCCACTGGAATCTGCTATAGAAAATAGTCCCCAACAAATGCATTTTTTACTCCTGTTGAAGTAAAGTTTGCTAAAATCTACAGTGCCCAGCTGCTTTGGGAAATGAAGTAATCTTAGGATTTAAGAATTCAATAGGAATGAACAGGCTTTTGGCTGTGCCACAGTTTTAAAGGAAGACTTTGGTCGTCTTCTGGGATTCATTGACAGTCAGAAAAATATAGAATACCTGCAGCCTTATTCTTGAAAGAGTGGAGTGAGTGGATTAACATTATTGTGATACACAACAGTAATGATCTGCCAGTGTGACTGTAACAGAGTTTGGTGTCATTTAAAATTTGTCTGACTTTATCTTTGAAGTGTCAAAGTTAAACTGCTTTATACTTTTTTAATCTAGTGAGAACATTTTAAACCGTAAAAGTCGACTTCAAATCTTGTTCTATGAAATTCTCAGCCTGTCCTCCTGGTCTCCACGGCCCGCTGTGCCAGCTGCAGTGCGACTGTATGAACGGAGCCTCCTGTCATCCTGTGTCGGGCCTCTGTGTCTGTCCTCCAGGATATTATGGAGCCCGCTGCCACAGAGGTCAGTCCAATTACTGCTGATAACGCCCAGTAAAATAATGGGATTACTGACAGTTTGTGTCTGATTTCTCCTTTTACTGAGAATCACTTCCATGTCCCTCAGTGTGTGAACAGGGTACCTTCGGTCAGGGCTGTGCCAAGGTATGTGACTGTGAGGACGACGCTCCATGTGATCCTGTGACGGGACGATGCCTCTGCTCCTCGGGGAAGACTGGACCCAGATGTGACATCGGTAACCCTCAATGTTTTCCTAACTTTGAGAACACACACAGCAAAGTGCAGACCACTGTGAATTAAAACACATCGCAGACCTTTTCTCCAGTACATCATGCTTTTGGCTAACTTTCCTTCATTAGAGTGGCGTCAAGACATTGTTTCAAGTTTCTGTAGAAAGTAGAATTACACTGGTGCAACTGGTTGAGGTGGAGCTAATTTGACTATTTTAAACAGCATCTATGGGAAGTTCAATCTACAACAATGCATCAAATTTTATAAGATGATCATGTTTTGTAGAATATTAATCTGTAAATTAACTAGTAACAATATCCATCAATTAAATGTAGGAGAGTCCAATGCAGTCCAATATAACAAGAAGACGTAAAGTCTCATACTTCCCTCAAGTAGCATGACAGAAATACTTCAGGAAAGTACCTCACATTTGTACTTTGAAACAGTAAAAGTTACTTTCCACCACTGTTTGTAAGTCCTTTTACTGATCTCTGGACTGCGTATAAGTGGAAACCTCAGCCACGACCTGGATGAAGCCAAAAATGTTTGAGTAAAGCGAGTTGTACTAGAGATGAGTTGAGTCTTTTATCTGTTCATGTACAGAGGTTGGTGACCTGCCTGCAATTTTAACAGTGAATCCAAATTCAACCTCTTCTCTTGTGTTTTGTGTCAGACTGCAGAGCGAATCGGTTTGGGCCCGACTGCAGTGAGACCTGTGAGTGTGAGAATGGGGCGCAATGCGACCGACGCAACGGGCGCTGCAGCTGCATGCACAGCTGGATTGGACTCTCCTGTCAGGAAGGTACATAAATGACTAACACACCTTCATCCCTGCTGTCTGAACAATTATCTCACTTCATTACTTCCATAGAGACAGCAGGTGACAACCTCCGTTGACTCTTGAGTCAGAGCAGAGGTGACATTTCGCTGACTGGGGAATAAGTAAATAACTAGTTTAAGTGCTGACAGTGTTCATTAGTGTCTTTGTTTGGGGGCCGAAGTACAAGGCTGCACTTTTCTCTTTCGAATGTGAATGTTGTGCATTTCCTCAGGTGGACCTCCACGCCTCACCTATGGGAGCAGCAGAGGAGACTCGCAACACAACTCATTATAGCAGCTCCATCTTGCTGGAAGACTCCAACTAGAACTGGGACAGATCGGCGGGTTTTTACTGAAGTGACTCAAGTGAGTGAAAGCTTATGACAGGAAGTTGAAGCAGCTGGAGGATTTGCATGAAAATAGACTCTCTGAGGAGAACTGCAACTCCATGTTTGAACCCGAGCTGGATTTTTTTTTTTTTTTTGCGTGCCAAAGTGTCCTTTGAACTGTCTGAGCCCGTGGCATCAGTCGGACCTGTCACCAGTGCATTGTTTCTTGCGCTCAAACACCACCTTTACTCTTCAGGATAAGAATTATGCCTCAAAAACTACATCCTCACAGTGCAGTGTCAGGAGATTGTGATTGCGTTTACTGCACTTTTGGTATTTTGTTTAATGTTTTGTCCTCAAGATGCCTTTTGCAGGTACTGTATATAAAATAATCTCTAATTTTGTAAGAAAATAGGTGATATTGCTGGATATGATGCAACCATATCACATTACTTGCCAGTACTATGAAGTTGTTTTTCAGTCTATACAAAATGAAGTACTACCCTCAGTCCAATGGTGCTATGGTGCTTTACTGTACTTCAGATGTTTAATAGTATAATATCACAGTAAAGCACATTCTTGTTGACTAAAGCCTTAACAGATAGCTGGAATTTCAGTGTATATCACTTAAGATTACACAGCTAGCATTCATTGTTTAAATTGTTCCTTTAGGATTGATTTTGTGTATAAATTGCTTCATATTTATATTTAACACAGTTGAATATAACACAAATTTAAAATGCATCTTTTGTTTTCCACTGGATAAAAGAGACTTTGCAGCTCTGCCAAATCTACAACCCAGAATAAGGTTTTACACATGAATGCCAATAAAGACAGACACATAAAGGTTTGTTTACCATTCTTATTTTATCATTATTTCATTTTCATTGAAGATCGAAGCTGTACATCCTGTCTAAATTTCAGATTCAAGCACAGTGCAGATAGCAACGCCTGCAAAAGAAAATTAAAAAAGAAAAGAGAAAAGGCAGAGGTGATCACAACCAGAAATATATACAAAGGTCAAACTATGTACAGGAGATACCAGGCGCTCACTATGTCGTCTTCAGAGTGAATTCAGTCCACCATTGCATTCACTTCAGAGCATTCCTCATAATGCATACACAACACAAAGAAATTGCTTCTTTTTGTCAGTCTTTAAACTGATACAATACAGATAGGAAAAATGCAGCATGATGAAAAAAAAATAAAAACAGTTCTTTAGCTTCTCTCTACTGCATTAAAGGCTAAAACATAAAAAATATATTTTCTGTAAAATAAGCTCTACCGATCTGTGGGTCTGGTTTCATTTCTGAACTAGTCAATATGTTAGAACAGCAAATATGATGAAACTAGGACCACTTAAAGCACAAACTTCTCTAACTGCACTCCAGCCTCAAAACATTAAGAGTTATTTCTACATTGGGCGTTAACCTGTAAAAGCACAAAATCTTTGCTGGGCAGGTCAGCACAGTGTGGAATAACACTGATGGTCAAACAAAATGCACAGAGATATCATTGAAAGGAAAAGTTTGACATTTTGGGAAATGTGCTTATGTGCTTTCTAGCTGAGAGTTAGAATCAATCTTCTCTGTCTGTTCAATATGAAGCTACATCCAACAGCTAACTGAGCATAAAGACTGGCCACAGAGGGAAACAGCTAGCCTGGTCAATTAGCACATATCTCTGGTTTAACCTGTACAAAATCCAGTGTAAAAACACCATTGACGGGGGAAATTAAGAAAGAACTGAACAGCCTCAAATTTAGTTGCAAATACAACTAAAAATGAACCTCATTTTAAAACCACAAACAATTCCTTTTGTAATTAATCTAATTTCTGAATGTCTATTGCAGGCATGAAAAGAAAACAATCCTCATAATGTCATTTTCAAGAATAATTTTCTTCTGAGACATGTCCGTTGTGACATTTTAAATAACGTCAAACATGGTCGGATCGATCCTACCGATACAATGACTTGTTTTTGTATCGATACTAGCGTCAATAGAATCGATACAAAAAAAAAAATTGATCCAGGATAGATCACATCCTGGGCACATGAACACTTACTGCTGCAACATTTAAATCTCTCCTGCGGCCATGTTCATGTGTGCAGGAATCACCTTTAGTTCAGAGAATTCACATAATGAACATTTCTTATTTACGATTAACAACTGTGTCATGTTCAAATCTAAATGTAACAACAGGGCTCTACCCTACAAAGACAACACATTAGCTGCTAGTAACAGAAAGTGCGGGTGCTCCTGGTTTTACTTGGAATTGGATTGAAACCAAATTTTCTGGTATCACTCACACCTTAATAGCAGCTAGTGGTAATACTAACAAGCTGACAATTGCTCCACCTGGCAGATTCTGTTACCTTTGGACAGAGTTAAGCTATCTGTTTCCCTGTTTCCAGTCTTTATGCTAAGCTAAGATAGCCAGCTGCTAGCTGTAGCTTCATATCAAGCACACTGACATGGGAGTCTTCCCATTTAACTCTCGGCAAGAACGCAAATACATGTATTTCCCAAACTTTGCCTTTTAAGTCTCAAACTTCCTCTCCACTCTTGGCAGATGAAAATATTAAGACACAGAACTCCACAGACTAATGAACTAAATATTCTTTGCTTTTCTTGTTTTTTTTTCTTCTTCTCAGAAAACAGCATCAGCTTGCGCAGGTTTGATTCACTCAGACATACAAGACACAGCAAATCAAACATATACAGGGATCAACTAACGCAACAGGCTAAAGCAAGGGATTAGTTTGGTTGTCCCCCCCACAAGATCAACAGCAGAGACATGAAATCACTTTACTGTTGTTAAAAATCACAGAGGAGCTGACTGTAAACCTCATCCGCACAAATCCACACAGCGACACTCACTTTGATTATTCCCTTCCACTTAAACTGAGAAACATCTACATCTCATTCATATCATCATTCGCACTAATGTGACAGTTTTCTTTATTTGTACTTGTATTTTTTTCTGCTAAGAATCAGTAGTTTCAGCTGTTAGTAAAGACTGTTATCTACACGTGTTAGTAAGGGGAGTAGCATGTCATTGCTTCTCCTGTAGGTACTGTAGGCTGGGTGACGAGAGTCCATGCTTTGAGGATGTATAACATGCTATCCACTTGTGCTTTAATCACAGTAAGAGAGCACCCAAAGGAGAAAGAATGATATAGGGTGGTGCCAAATTCTGCAATAATACTTCTGACACGTCTCAAGTCGTATGGCGCTTGAAACGAACCTTATGATCCTAAAATATTTAGCTGTACTATGCATTCTGTATATGAAGGACATTTGTTAACTAGTATAACAGCATGGTCAAGTAAAGATATATATGGAGTAAAGTCTGTACCATAGATAACAAGCTGGACAGCACATGCGTCAAGATGAGTTCTATAATCTTGCAGGAAGTGAGAGTGAAACACTCAGGTGTGTCGTCAAAGAGAGAAGAAGAAGAAGATCTTTGGCTCAAGCCACGCTAAAACATCACTGGTCCTCCCCAGTGTCCACACATGAAAGAAAGACAGACAAAGAGTAAATACAACCTCCCGCCAACGTGCACGCCAACACACAACTAAAACCACCTGCTCCATTCCCTGAGCTGCTGCCACTCACTGATTAACTGGAAACACCAACTCTTCCTCACAACAAATGCCACATCCACCAGTCATTGTTCCCGTATATACTGGGTACATGAGACCGGTCGGCCAAGGGGGCAGCTGTCGAGCTGTTTGTCTACGCCAAAGCCCACAGCACAGTCTGATGCAACTGTAAATAAGGCAAAAATACTTGAACAGAATTTGATCAAGAAGTTTCCATGAGATGTGGTGCCAGCATTGATATGACCACTTCCTATACAATAAATCCTCAGCCTGAAAAAAACAGAACAGAGGCTGGGTAACACGGTGAAGCAGGACACTGCGTTGGATTTAATACAGCAGCAGCTTCTACCGTTTGGGATGAATAAATAGCTAATCTCTTCAGTGGCAGTTGCCCAGACGCATCGGCCCACGCTCCTGGCTTGTCATCACGGACTGTTCACTGGTCAAGGACGGAGGAGGAGGCTCTCAGGCAGAGGGCGGTCTTTTCCTCTCGGCCCTGGCGAACACAGGACTTCAACGCCACGCTTTGACAGCAGGAGTGTCAGAGCATCAGGCTGGACAATTGCACTGCCAGTGAAGACACAGTGGGAGGATGAGGAGAGGGAATTATAAGGAGGCTATGCGATTCTAATAGTGCAATGGCTGTGAGATAAGACTATTGTAATACCCATCCTCTCCCTTCCTTATAACAATACTAAAGTGCTGATTGTTAAAGCCCACGAGAAGGCTTGTACACTGATGATGTCGACAATACAAACAAATTCTTTCTGAGAAACCGTGACGGACTCGTACAGTACACAGGTGTTTGTAAACATAACGTTTGAGGAACAAATGCATGGCTATGGTACATGTGCAACAGGGTAGTTCTCGTATATTCATACAGTATGAACTTCATCTTCCTTTTAGTTGCATTCAGTTTTAGAAAAAAGCAGAAAAAAAAAGAATTCTGGCTGCCAAGCAAGCGTGTGCTTATTTTTTTTTTTTTTTTTTTAAAAAGGTATTTTTCTCTATGGTTTTAAAATACGTTCAGCTGAATTGAATGTATAACTGATTTAAGTATGAGCGCATATCCCTCTTCCACTTTTGTCTTTCTTTGTCAATCCTTTCCTTTCCTGTGGAGGTGACTGTATTTTTTTCCCCCTTTTCTTATCTTATCCCTGTAACTCTAAATGAGGTGCCCTGGGTGGCCTTGGTGTGGCCAGACTCATGCGCCAGGGTCTCACTCAGTAAAAGCTCAAGCAAACAGAGGATCAGGCAAAGGTGGGGCACTGCGGCTGCAGGCCGGGTGCAGCCCTGCCGGGCGGGGCCGTGCTGCACGTTAGGAGCGGTAGTCCTTTTTACTGTACGGCTTGTTCCCCAGGATGCTGTCCACCTCGTGTGTGATGGAGGACGACAACTTTGGAAGAACCTGTGATGGGAGAGAGAAACAAACAATTAACATTAATTTACATTTCCTATCAGTGCTTTTGGTCATTGTTTAACTGTCCTTAGAGAAAATCAACAGTAGTTTGCATTTTCACATCTCAGCCTCTAGATAGCGCTCAAGAGTGACTTGAATTTTTTGTAGTTGTCACCAACTTTTTGGCTTCTAACCAAAGACTGTACAGTTTCTAACACTTCGCCTCCAATACAACAACCAATTAAAATCAGGCAAGCAGGCAATAGTACACATGATCTTCAAGTACAGACTGTATAAAGCAGTGCATGTGGTTGATATTAAAATACTTGTTACTTTTTGTTCCTTTTTTTTTCAGCTCATTTCAGTGCATTTAAATTGAAGTAAAGGTATTATCACCAAAATGTACTTTAATTATTGCAGTGTAAGAACTCATTACAGCAGAATTTGTTGTTTGTCGCACTATCTGGTGGTTCAATCTATAACCATGTATCATATTTTATAAACTGATAATAGATTTTGTATCCACAGTAAAAAAAAAAAAGAAAAAAAAAAAGAGTGCATTATTTCCCCTGAAATTTAGTGGAGAAGGAAGTAGTGTATACACCTCAGGTTGTAATTAATTGGTTTTAAAAGATATTGAGTGTGGGATTATTATTCTGGTGGTAAATTTATTTAAATTTTTTTTTTTTTTTTAAAAAGAAAAAAAAAGAGATCAAAACAAAGGTAAATTAATATGTTCCATTAAAACTGTAACCTTTCCTTTACAGGAGTTCAGAAAAATGGTTTTAAAAAAAACTTTAATATGATGCAATTAAATGCAAAGTATTCCCATGTAGAAAATATAAAAGAGAATTTGTTCTCTAATTCTCTCATCCCACAGAGTAGGCATGAAACAAATGCTGTAATGAACTGAAAAAAATGAGTATTTGGACATTCTTTTCAGCTCAGGGACTGTTTCTATTTCAGGGTCTGTGATGTAAAATTCCCAGTAAAAGGAAAACTGCAGAGCCCTGGGGAAATTTGAGCATAGCATTTCAAAACTGAAATATCAAATGTGCTAGGGGAGAGGAAACATATAGCGTGCACCCATCTAGTATATTAATGTGTCTACACACACGAGCATATACAAAGCGTCAGAATAGAAGAGTGTAGCAATGCTCTTTACTGCAGGCCAGACATAATGTGAGAAGAGAACGTAGACCCCCACCGGTCTGAAAACCCCATTAGAGGAGTGCATCTTATCAGGAGAGGTAGAAGTGGCCATAAGCTTGCCTCCAATCCCCCTGGCAACTGATATGCTGCTGACCTTATTAACTCGGTACAGTAAAGCACCCAAGCATGCAGCAACAAACTGCCCATGAGGCCGAGCTGTACCCAGGAGATGAGGCTGCTGTTACGGACTGTAAGGCACAGATACGGGCCTGATGAAACAGGTCAGGTCACATTTTCACAAATTAAACCACTGATTTGCTCTGCAGGACAACAGACACGTGTACACACACAAACATACATTCATTTTGTAGCCTCACCTGTATCGCTCCTATGTTTTCCATCAGCTGGTCAGTGTTGGACGCCCCTAAAAGGACAGAGCTCACCCCCTCGTTCCGTAGGCACCACGCTGCAGGAAACCAGTAAACAGCAATGACACCCCCAACATGGCTATGGACACACACACACACACACTCACAACATCCCTCGAAACACACACCACAAATTCACACCAGTCTGATTTTCTTTTAACACACTAAATGACATTTCCTTTACAAAAACCTGGTAATACATCAAAGCTACTGCAACACTTTCTGTCCAAAACTACAGCTTGCCTCAAACCTTCACACTAAAACCCTCCCAGTGTGGAAGAAACATTCAGATCCTTTACTTAAGTACAAGTAGCACTACCACACCAGAAAATACTCAACATGTACCAAAGTAATATCAGCAAATGTACTTTAAATAGCAAAAGCAGGAGTACTCATTGTGCATCAGTGTTTGTTTACTAGAGCTGCAACTAACAATTATTATCACTATCAATTAATCTGGCGATTAGTTTCTTGATTACTTGTTTAGTCTACAAAATGTATAAATAGTGAAAAATGTCCACCCCAGTTTTGCAGAGGCCAAGGCGACATCTCTAAACAATTTGTTATGTCCAAAACCGAAATATATTTAGTTTACAATGTGCTCACCACTGAGGAGCTGAAACTATGGATTTTTTTTTTTGCTTTGCCATTTTTGCTTTGGAAAAAAATCACCTAAAAGAATAATCAATTACCAGAGCAGTTACAGATTAATGTCCTGTCGATCGACAAATCAATCTTTTTCAGCTCTACTACTTACATATCATCATATATTATTTTAATATTACTTCTGAATTAACATAAAGCCAGTATTTTATTATTGTTGCTCCTAATTTTACTTACCAAATAAGCTGTAAAATGAATGTGGAATAAAAAGTACAATATTTCATAAAATGTAGTTAAGTACAAAAAAATTGGACCTCAAAATAGTCCACAAATTAGCTATACACCACTACTGCACTCTGCTAATCTTATGCAGGAAATGTGCTTTCTTTAGTGATCTCTCTAAAGAAACCAACACAAAAGAGCCATTTCTGCTTGATGTGCTATTATAAATGTGAGTTCTATTATGCAATACAACTGCATGCTCTTGCAATTGAGCAGAATGTACTTGTAAACAGATTATAGCATAAAGGGATGGAGAATTTGCTGTAAAAACAGTGGGATTTATGACTCTACAAAAATCTTCCACCAACATGAGCATATGGCCAAAAAGACAACAGTTGAAGGTCTTCCACTAGACTGAAGAAAAGTAGACCTCCCCTCAGGCCACTGAGATACTCACAACATTCATGAACTCTATTCTCCCACTCACAACTACAGTCTGACCCCTGAATTTACCACTTGCTCCAGCAGCACCAGGCCTCAGCATCAAGCCAAAGGCAGGAAGGAGTCTGTCATTTTTATATAGTTTTCATTCAATACTCTAGTGCCACAACGGAGTGTAGGGGACTACATCGTAGATATAAATCTCTTCTGTTGCCTTCAGGAGCGCTAGAAGGATTTATGGTAATTGGGCGGGATGAGGGTGTCCACTAATGGGCCGTGAAACCTAATCTATGACACTGCATTACCGAGAGGGTGAAAAATCTGCTGTGATCCATGCTGAGGTACGAGACAGAGTCCCAGATTTACTTGCTGAGTCCCTCAAGACTGACGCTTTAACAGCTCTCGCAGGAGTGTGCGTCTTTGGGGTTTGCACATTCTCACTTTCCTGCCCGGCAGTGAATCGATATCGGTCACTCAGTGGATTTATGTCTGGGATGCTATTTTAATGCTGACACTGGAAACTGTTAAATACATGCTAACACCAGGGAAAACCACATACCTGCATATACAAACATACTGTAAACACATTTGCATCCCATATGTTGATATTTACATCATCACTGTCTTAATATATTCAAGGGACTGTGCCAAATGTTTGTTTAGAGGTAATTTTGTTGCTTTTCCTTTTGGATCCTGAGAGACAATGAGAAAGGTTGAAGATGAGTTTATGTCCTTTTAACATACACTATTTATTTTTTATTTTCTTATAATATTCTTATATATTTTTGTTTAATTATTTTCTAATTAAAAACTGCAGTAGATACAACAGACTCTCACACACACACACACACACAGCACAACACAACACACTGACAATCAAACCAGACAGCACCAAAGGTGCTGACCTCAGCCCGTCCGAGGGAGAGGGACGGACAGACAGACAGAAAGAGAGAGAGCGGCAGAGTGTATCTGCGTACCGATGGCGAGTTGGGGCAGAGTGCAGCCCAGCCGCTCCGCGATTGCCTGCAGCTCTTTCAACTTCGCCTGCTGACGCCGGCCCTCCTCACTCAAGATCTTGTCCTTCAACCACTGGTAACCCTGTCAAAAACACAGCACACCTGCTCAAAAACACAGCCCTGCTCACACGGCTGCGCTGCAGCTCCTGTGTCACCAGGGCCTGTTTTTAAACACGTGACTGTCTCCTGCTGTCTACACCTCAGCCAGGGAAACGTATCTCCAGCTAAGCTTACTGAAATACTGAATATTCAGTTCATTATGTCTTAGTTACAAAGTTAAAATAGAAAAATTCTTAAAAGAACTATTACTGTTGTTGAAATTATGTAGTAGCTGTCTAATTTTTATATCTCAATGTTAGAACCAAAGAGTATCAAAAGGTCAGGAATTATACTGTAGCATAATGCTATTACTAGCACACTAGCACCAGAAGGAATAATCACTGAGTTAAAGAGCCAAAATACCACAAACATCCACAGGCAACACTGAACCAAACAGGAAGCAGCACATTCCACACAAGTCGCCAAAGATACTGCACAACACCAAAATGGAGATCTAGGTTCATGAACCAGGAGAGGTCTAATCGACAGTCACTGACACGCAATCCACAGATACACAACATGCCACTCCACCACAGGGACAGATCATTGCATTAATTCAGGTGTTAGCTCCTGTGTAACGCAGAGGTGCAGTGAGTTATTTTTATGTTTAAAGGTCATGATGAGAAATGGCAAACTGCATGTGTTACTACTATTGTTTTAAGTAAAATAATCAAAGTAATTTGACATAATGGGAAGTGTGTTGTTGTTGCTGATTAAACTATGTTAAGGCACACTTCCTGAGTTTATCTGTCACTTTAAAGAGAAATATTCCACTGGGTTTCTGAGTGCTCACTGAACTAAATCATTGAAAGTTTTTCTCCACCTCATTAATGTTTGGTTAAAGTGACTGTTTTGTTCGCTTATGCTTGGAGCAAAACAAGTCTTTCAAAAAATGATTCTAGGTCACATATGAGTCGTCTGGATTAACACACTGAACTGCTTCATGATTCATCTACCAATGTAATTATTTAGCTTCAGTTTAAAAAGTGTTGGTGTACATCAGGGTAAATTAAAAAACAATTTGTTAGTGTGCACGCACGCTGTACTGTCATGGTTCTGTGTGAATGCATTGCTGTGCACATGTATCATGTGGCTCATGTGCGTTAAGATGACACCAGCTGGCAAACAGTGTCGCACAACACTGCTTGTGAAGAGGTACACAGTGCATGGCGTCAACATGGCACTGAAAACACACAGATATATGTGATGTTGCACAGAGTATACAGAACCTGAAAGACACAAACACACAATAAGCAAACAAACAACCAGCAACCAGTAGGGAAAAGATCACAACAGCGACACCAGCACAAATGATCAAAGTGGGATAAAGACAGAAAACAGCCAGTGAGGTTCGTCTACCTTCAGAGAGGCCCGAGAGTAGGGAGGCACCCTGCCGTCGTATTTCCCTGAGATGATCCCACAGGCCAGTGGTGACCATGTCATGGCCCCCACACCTGAGAACACAAACACGTGATCATCAACATCGCTGGAAAACAATAGCTTACTTTCTCAAAGGATTATAATATAAAATTTGGTCTTTAGAAGGAAAGGGATAATAGCAACACCACATTCCTGCTGTTTGAGTTTTAATCCATTTGGTCTGATTCTTCTTTTCAAACTGGATTTTAAGATGGGCCTGTTTTTGTTGACTTGGTAGATTGAGTACAGCAGCTGGCTAAAGAGAATCTGCAATGTCAGAAAGGACTCCTTTTCTGTCGTCTGCCAGTCAAGCTTCAGACTGCCAATTGTTTATGTGACAACTTATGTAAGACTCAAACCTGGATGACGTCAGCTCATGTGCTGTTGCTTTAGATGGACAGTGTCACAGCCACTGAGAATTCACAGCGTTTGTTGAAAACTGCTGTCATTCAAAAAAGATTTCAGGAGCTTATTATGACGATGAACCCTGTGACAAAACATTCACTGATCTTCTCGGGTCAGTTTTTAAGAAATAATGTATTTAAAACACGAAGCGTTGTGAGTGCAGAATTTGTGTCCGGTATTTTGCAGTCACTTAATTCCTCTATCCCTACTGTACTTGAGAGAAGACTTCATCTAATAATCCATGCAAAGCCACAAATCCATGACTGCTCACCTATCTTATGGAAGAGCTCAGGTAGCTGCACCTCCACCTTCTCTCTCTGGAACATGTGATACTCAGCCTGCTCACAGATGGGAGGAATCTGGTTGAACTGTCGCGCCACAGAGTACGCTTCCTACAGGGAGACATGGAAGAAACAAGATTAGAGCCACATACAGGACAGTGCAACAACGCAGATCAGCATTAAACAGAAACATCTAAGATAAAGCAAAGGGAGAGTTAATTCCAACCTCTTGAAAGAAGGAAATAATCCTAAAGGTATATTGGCAGTCATCTACAGAGATAAATTAAGTCTCACCATTATCTCCATTGGGCTCCAGCGGGATGTTCCCCAGTACATGGCCATGCCTTGATTTATCACATGGGTCATTGCTCGAACCGTTTCTGCAAGTAAAAATACACAAAAATGTTAAAAACAGCTTTAGTGATGGTGTCAACCTGCTGTGTTTGCAGCATAGTATTATTACAACCATTTTTTTCATTTTCTATATCTCTCTCTATAGAGCAGATAATTTCCTGAGTTCCTATTGGATGTGTATCTGAGTTCTTTATTCTTATAAAAGATGTGCGTTATCATTTGCAATCCAAATGGACAGGGGCCATTCAGCAGAAATGTGGAAAAGCTGATTATGTGAATCAGAATGGAGAGTGATTCATTCTGAGGAGGATGACATCTATCCACAACAAGGCATACGTGAATGACAGTAACGTAAAAATACACTAGAATCTGTCTTTTTTGATCTGCAACGTGCCACAAAAAAGAGGCCAGTGAAGTAAATTGGAGATGACAGGCATGTTTGCACCAGTTCAAATCTTTGCTTATATACAAAACTGGATGACAGCTTCTGTATTTTAAGCACAGTAGGTTAAAAAAAAATGTTTGGTTCTATAACATGAAAAATATTTTAAGGATTTTTTCAATTAATGTGCTGACCAGGCTTGACTGAATGTTACGCAGAGCTCAATCTCATGTTCTTCTCTCAACATCACTTTATTCTATTTAAAGCCTTCAGATCAGGGATTTAAATGTACAACAATATCTAACCCTGTGTGACTGTGAATTAAACCTCACATTATCCAACTGTAATTTCTCTTTTCGTTGGTCGAAGTGACCCACTGTCAGTGACCGCTGACCAAAATATCAAACATGTCAGATAACGATCAGGGTGTCCCCGACAAGATCAGGAGCACAGGAGAGCAATTGTCAGGAGTGTTGTCAGCTCTCAGTAATCCTCCATCCATCCATCTATCCATCTATCCATCTATCCATCTATCCATCCATCCATCCATCCATCCATCCATCCATCCACTCCTCTTGCTGATGTGCTGTTTCTCAAAACTTTCTTGGCTTAACAAACCAGCCCTCCTTTCATCTAGTGGGTGCGTGGCTTAAGAGGGTTTCTCTGTAAACTGAAAGAACAGCAGTTCACCTCCTTTTCACCGTGTATACTGCCCTTTAGCTATAGCCAGAATAAAATGTACCAGATGGTTTAACTGCTGTAGATTTGAAGGCATGGACTCAGAGCTGTCCGTGCAAACTGTGTGCAATCTTTAAAAGGGCAGATGGGAAAAAGAACCGCCTCGACTTTCACATCAAACAACACCTGCTACTTCTGACTAACAAGACATTGAAGTATTGTGAAAGAAAGAGCCTGAGCCGGTGATGCATCAAACTGAAGGCATGAAGATGACCTGTGACCCAACTGTAACCCAAAGAGGAACTCTGACACAGGAGCAGATGGATACAGTGTGACCAGCTGAACCCACACACAGTTAGCCCACTGCCATTTAAAGGTCTCCAGCATCAGTATCTATCTATCCTCATTCTGACTGTGGAGGTGGAGGACAACATGCAGCATTTAAAAATAGATATTTCAGTAACAAGAGGTTTATATATCCCAGCCTTCACTTTGCAGTAGTCATAGAGACAGAGGGGGGGGGTTGTTAGTTGTAATATGACAATACATAGGGAAATAATGGTTAAGTGTGTGAGAGTGTGAGAAAAGTAGAAGAAGCATTACCTTCCATAGGTGTATTAGGGTCCGGTCTGTTCGCAAAAACCACATCCACATAGTCTAACTGCAGTCTTTCTAGAGAGGCCTTTAAACCTAGAAATAAGCACCACAGTAAATAAGTGATAGTGAATCTCTGTTGTGCTACATTATTAAGTTCTTCATAAACACCCAGACTACAGTAAATACTGCCAAATTATTAGTGCATAGGATTCTCAAACAATTTATTTTTACAGGGCCATTGTACCAAAAAGTTTTCTCGGCAACTCCAATAAACCCAAGAGTATGTCAATTATTAAAATGTAGCCTTGTTTCCCTTGAGCCAGAACAACTTATTAGGAAGTATTTTGTTGTTGCTGTGTCAGCATTTAATCCAATAATCTGCAGCGCTGCTACTTACCTTCTATAATGTGTTTTCGGGATAAACCCCTTTCAGTCTCCGCTCTGAAAAAAAAAAAAATAAATAAATAAATAAATAGACCTCGGTTTATGAAAGGTTATTTGAAATATAACACGACCTGCGCCTCCTGGATGATATAATATCACATATCCTTTGTGAAATATGATCTAATAAATGTTTCAGCTTTACTGAAAGTACCTGACAACAGATTAGTTTGGAGGACGCATGATCCCATTACCAGGAACATCAGTCAAGGAGTGGAGAAAAATTATACATTTCTCATTTGGAAGCAACCAGATGAAACTTACTTTCCACCCCAGAAGATCTTTGTTGTTATCACCAGACTTGAACGTCTGAAAGTGGGAAATGAAAACACATCTGTTACAACAACCTGCCAAACGCAGAGAGTTATAGCCAAAAAGCCTCACGTGTTGGGAGTTGGTGATAACTGAGGTCTACACAAACCTTATATTATATGTATTAACAAGATGAAAAGCTCAGACACATCCTCTCAGTGATAATGCATTTCTACCTTACTCCTTCAATGTCACACTCACCCACATCCCACAGTAAGTGTGACTGTGCCAGAACTCGGCCAGCGCCAATGAATGAGTGTTGTGGGCGTATAACCTGACAAAGCTATACAAATGCCAATCCAGGACAGATAAAGTAGATGACAAGGCACTAGAAGTTCATCCATTATTCAGCGTCTTTGAGGAGGGACACAGGAGTGTGGGCATGGCACGGCGGCCCGCATTAATCTTTCATCTGCCTACCTTACCGTTCCAGTTCACAACACGCAGCCTCCCAATATGTGCAAGGAAGGAGATGATACAAGATTAGGGAGGCTGGCTGGGACGGAAATTAAAAAACACCAAACCCAATTTAAAGTGTGCATCATACCTCCACCCTTTCTTCTTTATGATGTTGCCGAGCACCACCTCTGCCCTGCGAAGCAGATGGAGAGAAGGCGTGATTGAATAAAGACAGTCTTAAAATGATAAGAATGTTTATACCCAACTGTCTGAGGGATGATTTTCATGCCCTAAATTTAAAAGAAAAAACAGTCCAACTCTGCACACATAATATTATTAATAATAATAACAGTATAAAGATATATAAGGGAGCTTTCATTGGTAAGTACACCTGTTTAGGACTGGTGAGTGTGAACTAGCTGCCAGGTCAGAGTCAGTAGGGCCTGGGCTCAGATTTGCTTTGGAGTTGGTCATTAGCAGCCACAGGGGTGCTAATGATTGGCATTACCTTCAACATGGGGCTCATTAGGACCAGGCAGAAACCTGTCAGTAGGATGTCTCTCCAGTCCTCCTACTCTGACAAATAATGAGACACCTCCTTGTAACATAGCCTCCCATAAAATGTATTTGTTCAATTCTGAGAGGTAAAACACAGCAATTAATAAGATTTGTTTGGGATTCATTTTGGGTGCATCGATGAATGACGTTAGCTGCTCTAACAGATGCAATTTTCAAATAAATTACATTTTGTTGTCAAAACCGTGCGCAACTACAAGGACCATAATTAATCTCATCTATGACACAGTGCATTAGTGCTCCTGTCAGTCGCAGTGCGGCTGTGTCGACACACGCTGAGTGGTGGCTCCTGGCTGTGGTAATCAGATGGAAGTTTAAACAATCAGCTAAACGAGAAATACTAACAACTTGTACCACTGACAAACTGACATGCCTGTATAAATGTTACTCACTGGGATTTTTATATGAAACACAGTGAGGAAAATTCACATATTTTCTAACCTGGATTTTATTCTCTCTCTCTCTCTCTTATTCTCGCCATTTCTGACAATGCAATTAGCTACATTGGGTAATTCAGGGAGCTAATTTCTGTGTTTCCTTTTGGTCGGACTAAGAGACAATTAGAGACAGTTAATTAATTTTATTGACTTTTTTTTTGTAAAACTGAAGTAGTGCAGCCTGGTTTTGTTCCCTAAATTTCAACTACAGAACCCGAGTCGAAAAAACACTGGAATTATCTTTGAACAGGACACTGATAGCCCTCCCTCCTGACGATACTGAAATGAACTAATAATAGAGTCAGAGTGATAAATTGGCCAGGCCGATATATAATTGGATTTTGAAATTGGAATCCCAAATATCGATATGAGTATCAAAACCTCAGGATTGTTTGACCTATAGCTGATGACAAACAACACAGTAACCTCAATGCACTAAAAAAACCTGTTTGATATTTTATGCAAAGTGCTGTTACTGTTAACCAGTAACCTTTGTTTTGAAAAGTGCAATATAGATAGATTTATAGCATTGTGTGTGTCAGTGCCAACACTTTGTAGGCGCATTGACGTGAGGAAGTATGAAAATTGATTGAACTCAAAAATATAGGAATTCATATGAACTTTTTTAGGATATTAATGGCATTGACACAATGTAAATTTTTCATTTTGTTTGTCTATGTTTTGTTTTGAAGGGTCCTGCTTTAATATTAAACCCCAAATATGTGCTTTTATTATTTATTTCCTTCCTCTTTGTTTGTTACTTATTAAAAAGGTAAATTCAATAAAATATTAATACCCAACCCCACACCAAAAAAAAAAAAAAAAAAAAAAAAAGAAAAAAAAAAAGTGTGTGTGGGTGTTCTTCTCTGTACTGATCTAGCGAGCAGCATGGGTACAGTAGGTGCTGCACTACTACTCGCTGGTCCAGACCTATCCAGCTGGAGCCACTACTTTTTAAACAACGAGCACTCAAGCACTCCCGAGAGCAATAATGTGTGTGTTTGCGTGCATAATAGTATGTCTATGTGTGTGTCTTTAGCAAATACCCACACAATGATCTGTGTGTTGCCCTTCGGAAATGTGAGTAATGTGAGAGCCCAAACATAAGGTACAGTGTGCCCTGAGCAGGTTAACTTTCTTCATCCATTAATTAGGTCTTTATCCCAGTGCCGAGGCGATGTTATGACTTACAGCACAAGCAATGGCGTAAGGCTGCATTATTCATGGATTTCAGATATTTTATTACTTTCAGATTTCTATGTAATTATGCTACCAATTTGTCACTGGTCTCACACAATATACTGTAATTACTATGTATCTAGAGCACAATGTCTGAGCCTGAAAGAAAATGAAGATGGAATTTTTTATTCTGCCAATTACTCGCACTTTTAAATGCTTTGAAGCCATGTGTTTGCTGATAACAGCAGCGGAAGGGGATAAGCAGAATATGTTTATTTGTGCAATTACACATATTTATTCCTATATTGAGAAACAGCAGCTTGTATATTGGGATGGATACGCTAGTTAAATAACACAATCAATATCTAAATATCGCTATATGTTGAATGTTGGTTTTGTGACCATTTCTCTGTTTTGTAGAGCTAAGGCTAAACAAACACGCAACACAAACAGCCAGAAACTGCCAAGTGCTGTGCATGAGCAGGGCGAGGAGAGTGAGCACAGCTTACAAACCTTATTTATCTGTCCACTATCGCAACACAGAATCAACAATACAGCAGCCGACTGTACAGCCACCACTTCACGTTGTCTGAGTCTGACTGATGACGGAATCACAGTTAAGCCAGAACCAAAGACTTCACATGAAAGCTTTCTCTATTCTGATGTGCAAAGTGTGAGATTTGTTCCTCTCCTGTGTGTGTGCATGTGTGTGTGTGTGTGTGTATGTGTGTGTGTAATATAAGCTCCTCGGTGCTGCTTTGTGCTGGAAGCTGTCAGGATTAACACCTGTGCAACACATACTGAGCTATGTGACATGCTGTCACAAACATTTGCACGTGCCAAACAGATTTGTGCTTTCTGCTGAATTGTTGTTTGTTTTATGGTCGCATGATGATTATAGTTGGAGTTGGTAATATTTCTGTGTTAAAGATCAACTTTGCGCTCATTTTTTTTCTTAACCCCATCCTTGAGCAAGGACGAAGTGATTGTTGAAAGCTCCTCAGAAAAATAGAATATGTAGTGATGACGTTAGGCAGACGACAGCTGCTGAGGCATTAGATGATAAAAGTGAAGAAAACCACCAGAGACCTACTGCATGTTTCTTGTCTTTTTGTTTTCTTTTGATATTCTTTTGAGAGACACCAGCACACTGACACATCTCCCCAAACATAATGGCAAAACTAGAATATTCTTGGGAGGATTAAAAAAGGACTTGGTGCTGTTAATCAGAGATACTGTTTGCAAAGGATAATCCCTTAGATTATTTCAAAGCACCCAAGTTACTACAAAGCCAGATTAATCCACACTGGAATTTAAACCATCATTACATACAGCGATAAGGCATCACAGGGCTGCTCTCTGAGGTTAAAAATATCATCACTAGCTGTCCTGTAAATTTAGACCCAGACTGTGAATATCTGAACCCTCATAACTGTAACTGCAACAATGACAAGGTGTGACAAAAAGGACAGCCCTAATTTCAGGTCTACATTCAAGGAGAGACAGATTAATCTTTTGTGCCCATTAATAGTTCATTGGAACTACTTTTTACCAACAGAACAGAGCCAATAAAAAGTATTGACAGTAGCCAAGTTGGGAATTAATGTGTGTTTCCATTAGGGCTGTCAACAAAAATTATAAGTTTGTTTATATAATCGAATTGTAAGGGAAAATTCCTTACAATTCCGATACTAGTATTGGAAATGTCTCTAATACTGCCTAAAATACTGGATCAGAAATCAGTGAGTATGCGAGTCTATGCACTGATCCCACACCATGTAACATATTGATAAACTTTCACACCCAGATAAAACGGCAGATGAAACAGTAGCCTACACAGCAAGTTGCGCTGTGCCACCACTGGCAACTACTTTTAAAGAGCAGCAAAGAAAAATGTATTTCTGGTAGATAGCTGATAGCCATCGGCTGATCTCAGTAAAAGGTGGACCATGGTCCGGGTCCAGACCCAGATGCTGTCCTATCCAGGCCAGGACCTAAAACCTATAAATTTAACATTTTCAGTATTTCTGTTTTAACCAGTGCAGTTTTTCTAGTCCGTAGGGCACTGGTCATGTGATGCTACTCAGCCAATCATTACAACTCAAATCACTGTGTGAGATACACTCATGGTGAGTCAAGACCAGACATAGTCATAGAAATAAATTGTAGATTCTCAGCATATGACAGTTTGCAGTAGTAGGCTACAACAGTTTTAAATTCTTTTTCCATATGTTGTGAAGTAGTAAAAGATCCAAAATGAACAGTGTAAACGGACTACTTGATTACTGGATTATTTAAACAGCATTTGTTAAGGAGTGATTCTGGCACAAGCTTTTTGATCACTATAAGCAGCTGCACTGAATGCACTACATGATGGACAGGAGTCATTCTGTAGTAACACATTGCTAATGATTTCTCAAAAAGAATTTCATTCACCTCCATTGTGTATTGCGTTGACCTCTGCACATTTAACTGAAGCTATCTGCATGGCCACATGCCAACAAAATAAATAAACTAATATATTTTTTGATATATGGGTGAAGTGTGCACCTGACATAAACACCCAAGCATGGCAACCAGTCTATAATCTCTACCTGGTGACTTTATCATCAATCATATCAGCAGCTTCATTATATTTGGTGTTTCTGCTGACTGATGAGAGACCTGTGGCACAGGATATACTCACTTCCCAGCAGCATAGACCTCTGCTGTGTCAAACAGATTGATGCCATTTTCATAAGCCAGAGTCATCAGCTGCTCTGCCATCTGTTGAGAGAACAGGGGAGAAGGAAGAGGGAGGGGAAACTATGGGGTGAGTGATCACTGATGCGAGGTGTTAGGGCTATTCAATAATTAAAATTTCCTTCACAAGATTAAAGACGGATGCTATGGCTTTGCCTTCTTTTAACATATGTTTATTTTGTGTTGGCTCTATCTTGCAATATGTTGTCACTAAATGTAAAAATAGGCTTCTTGAGCAATCCAGGATATGCCAGATCATATGGAGGGTTTCTATTCCCAACTCCTGACTGATGGAAGATCACAAAATCCATCTGCTCTCACCTCATCCGTTATCTGTCCACCGAATGTCACCCATGTTCCTAAAGAGGATGACAGGGAGGTGCACGTCAGTGTAATACAGAAACACACACATGCACAGAGATAAGCAAGTAAACAGTGATACTTTATGTACAGCACAAGTGATACTGCACATACTGTACAAGAAACAAGATCTAGCTATTTTATAACTTCTTCTTTATAATTCCTTATAACTTCTTGCCACTAAACTTTTCCCCACACCCTTTTTCTCCCTATCTGAAGTTAAAGCACCATGGGGTTATCAGTTCGCCTCACAAATCTGCTATGCAAAGTCTTTGGGGTGAAGAAAACTTCTCAGTGTGCCCAATAATCTAAGAGGCTCTTACCTAATCCAAGGCAGGACACCCGCAGGCCCGACTTTCCAAGGTTTCTGTCAAAACAGAGAAAATTACATTAACATTAATGCAGCACTAAGGTGGCAGTGGTTTGTGATATTTTGCACAGTGGCGGCGGGTATGACCATTAGAGAAGGACTTAAACCCCTCACTTTGATTGATAAATATATAAAATAAACAACCCTATCAAACTTTTGTAATGGAAGAAAAGTCTGTTCTTAAGATTCTTACTGAAGTGGAAGCTTACAGGCGTGGAAGATGAGAAGAACAGCGCTTTGTGTGGATTTGAAGCCAGCCTGTAACTGCCTCTACTGCAGCACTGACACACGTCGAGCAGATGGGTAAGGAAGGACAGTTACACGTGTGCTGACAATGAGAGTGTGTGTGCATATGTGCAGTATGTGTGTGCAGAGAAATGTCAGGAGAAAGTAGGAGACAGGAAATGGGACTTAAACAGGCCCACCATGACATCCACTGAAATTTCTCACAGCACACCAGGATCCCTCAGCCGCCATCTGAGTAAAATCCCCTACAGCTACACGGAAGCTTCACTACTCACAACAACTTGCTCCTAAAGCTGGCATCTCTGAGCCTATCAGAGTCCAGACAGACCCCTCTGCTGACAATCACAGCTTTGGTTAGGTCTTTGATCCTTTTGTACAAGCTATTAAAGGTTTCTGACACGTCTATGGCTCCTGGTTAAAAGGCAACATCAGAACAGATTTGTTATAATCACTGAAATGACTCATCTTTTCTTTAATTTTCAGTGTATCTTCAGATCAATGAAAACCTCCAGACCATAATAGTTCTATTTCTTCAGGTATCTCTGATCTCAGAAATGATTAGACAGAGAATGAAGCGTGCTACGTCTGGTCACCCTCCTTCAGGAGATGTGCTGGCAGTGTAAAAAGATAAAAGAAATGTGGCATCAGAGATGATGTAACATGAGCAGGAGTCAAAGTGAGCGTGTGGGAGGATATCTAATATATTTTTATAAGACTGCCTGTATAGAAATACAGTGGAAATGAAAAGGAATATAGAGGAAGACAGGGTATAGGTGTGTTGCTTGTGTGTGTGTGTGTGTGTGGGTGTGTGTGTGTGTGTGTGTGGGTGTGTGTGTGTGTGTGTGTGTGTGTGCAGATGCATGTTACATGACTGTTCTTGTGACTGCATGTATAAGTGGTACTCTATGTGTTTGTATGTATATGTGTGTGTGTGTGTGCGGGGGTGTTTTGTGAAGCCATGATAAGACTGCTGAATTGCTGGAATGACTAACAAAACACTTCTTTCAATGTGATCTGAACACCAAGTCCAAAAACACTGACTAAACTGTTTAAAATATATATGGAAATCTCAACAGAATCATATCCCCTCTAAGTAGGCTAAGCAGCATACATTTGTGTTGTAGTGGGAAAAAAAAATCTCATCAAATGCTTTAAGTTTCTTTTTGATGTCTCTCCATATAGTTAAAAGAGTTAATCCAGTTAAATGTTCAATAAATCGTCAAACATCATTAGTTACGCTCTTTCTCCACTGAACCACCATGGATGCTCGGAGTGTCTCTCCATTCATTTAGATTGTGTGACAGCATATCACAGCAGAAATCAACCCAGTTTGGAGCCATCTGAAGTTTCATCAGATTGAGTGATATTGGGAAATAATGAAATCATATCCACTTTGTATATTTTGAAAGTAAAGCATTTGTGTCCAACTTATTCTCTACAAAGAGCCTCATTAAAAAGATCTGATATGGTCAGTGAGGTCTATAATCGTGTTACAGTTTGAATCCAAGAGCCTGATGACGTCATGTATAGGAACCTACTGACTTATAAGCAAACACAGTGTCCCTCACAGTCATGAGGGAGAAGAGAGAATGATAAGAGAATCTAATGGGACTACGTGCCCTTGTGTTGCACCGCGGGGATAAGGTTAGCACAAGTCCCCTCTGGCAAACCACTGGAGCTGATCTACAATTAACAGCCCCTTAATTGCATGAGTAAAATACCCCCCAGGGGGCAGCTGCTCGGCATCATAAACAGAGATAACGAAACCAAAAGCAGATTACTGACCAAAATTGTTATTGGAATTAGTTTGTGTGTTTTTAATGGTGGACTTGTCAAATGGCAGTGCCAAATATTTTCTTCACCCACTCACAAATTCTGCTTGACTGCATTGTCTTTTAAATGAGCTGCAAACACTGTAGGGTTCATCTCTAAATCACAGTTGAGCTACTGTACATTCAGCTTAGAGTGTGTTTCAAGCCTTTCTCTGTTCCAGATTTAAATACCTAATGTGATTAAACAAATTCATTTTGCTAAATGTGTTAATACACGGTGCACAAGCATGCCGTGCATGACTGACATGCATAGTTAACCTGTCTAATTAGATAAACTAAGAGCAACTGTAAAAACAAAAAAAAAACAAAAAAAAAAAAACAAGCCTCTAGAGTGGTACCATTTTCATCAGCATGTGTAATCACAAAGCGAAGCTTACTGTGTGAGTGTTGCATAAGAATGTTTTAACGATGAAGACTGCACATCTAGTACCAGTGTATTTAAGCACTTCCCCAAACCTAAAAATAAGTAACAAGGGTATCAGAATACACAGCTCTGCCCTTGCCATTGTTCTCATTGTAAGGATGTCTCTTTGTCAGCACATTGTTGTATTCAATATTTTACTAGACTGGCCTTGAATACTGCATTGTGTGTTGCTTCAATGACCCTCTGCCAGGCCCTGTAAGTACACAGGGGTCAGATTCCCGCTGAGCCTCAGCAGACATGAACCACAACAGTAAAGTCATCTCTCTCACACCCTCCTCAATAATAAAGGAGACAGGTACAGTACAGGACTGCAACACCACTGCAGCAGCGGGGACAAGGCCAGATGGGATCCAGTGAACAGGACACATAGTGACCATAGTACTTGTCCAGTATGCTTGTTTGCGTTGAAATACTAGGTAACCTTTCACTGTGGTTTCTGTCCACATCACCCTTCTGATCCAATCAGCACAAAGCCTAAGGGGACAGGGTGAGGCATTTCATTTTGGTTTGTGGGTTTATTTGATTAGAGGTGGCTTGGATATCTGTTTGGGGCTTGTTTACACACAGATTGGATTACACTTTATTTCTTGACAAAATGAATTCTGAATGTCCAATCATTCAGCGGTGCTGCTAACTGTGGAAGATAGTGGAGCTGTAATATGTTTTCTTTCTATCAAGGTCTGCATAACAAAGGGAATACCAGAGGTCACCTAAGAGTCTATTTCAGTCATCTATTAGTGATCAATGGATTACTGATTATTGAATTATTGTCTCTCAAGGAAAGAAAAAGATACGTAATAATGGGCATTAACACAATCATAGAAGGTATGCAAAGATAAAAATGAATATGTTGACGGTACATAACATTAACTTAAACAGTCCTCAGCTACTGCTATGCCTATTGGTAGCTGAGTCATTGTATTCTCTGTTAATGCTATTTAAGCACTGCTAACTGCATGAATCATGTTGTTAGAATGGCAAAATAATGGGAAATAATATTCTGAACAGCGAAATACAATTTAATAATCACACAAAAACAACCAAACATACAAGGACAGAAAGGACAAGTAGATAGCAAGCATTAATAGATACCCATCTTTGACACATGGCACCACTAGCCCACACTGCACACTGGGGAACTGAAGTATCTACACTGAATAACCAACATAAAACCAGCTGGTTACCCTTGGGATTGACAAATGTCAAAAACAAACTGTGTATTTAGTTCCTGTAAACACTCTGATGTATGAACTAAGCTTTGAGATAAGGTGAGAGCTGCTTAAAAGTATTTTGACACAATATCTAACCCGTAACTTCCCAATAACAAATCAAGAATAAATGTAACTGTACGTCTTCAATTTCCTATGAATGACACCCTCCTCTCCTGGGTCAATCAATTGCCCCCTAATTACCTCTAAACAAATACTGTGGTGACCCATTTAGACCAATCAATACAATTTTAACTAGAATTACCGCCTCATCGTTGCATGCCTCTGCCAACCAGTCAGTTTGTCGTTTACATCCATGTCTGTCAGAGACTCCTAAAATTTAGGTAGTGAAGACTTTGAAGGAACTCAGTAAAAGGTATGTTTTGTGATTGGATTTGTAATTAGAGAATGAATTCTTGATTTATGGTGAAAAATGTGTTTTGTGAGGTCACAGTGACCTTCACCTTTGACCACCAAATTCCTATCGGCCCATCCTTGAGTCCAGATGAACATCTGAAGAAATCCCCCGAAGGAATTCCTGAGATATCGCATTCAGGAGAATGGGACAGACGGAGGGACAGCTCATGTATCTAGAGTATGATGGCAAGTCCTGATATGAATGGATTTTTATCCATTATTATGCCTCATGTCTTCTAAATCTAATTCACGATAAACTTGGTCTCTTGTCTCATAATATGTATCCAAGATCACACCCTATGTCTCAGCAAAAACCACAGTTTTCAACAGATTCCCAGGATGTGAGTTAGTGATGCGTTCAGTCTACTGCTGCACCATTTAAGTCATCATTTATACAGGGCATCACCTAAATGCTGATCATGTCAAATCAGCTTTAACTGTATGTTTTAAAACTATGGTTGAGGATTTAGATGACTTGGTCCTAAGCAGTTCTTCAATTCTCTAATTATCATTTCAACAACAGAAAATTCATAAACTGGTTTAGTATAAGCACATACAGTGAAGGACTAGAGGCATGGAGTGGGAGGACTGAGTGGGAGAAAGGGCTTAAAGTCACGGTAAAGTCAGCGGACAGGACAGGGTGATGAATGAGCAAACAAGGTCACAGAGCTGTAAAGAGAAACGTGTTGAGAGATATGTTCACTGAGCTGAACTATTAATACTGCCTCACCCGTGGCTTCAACTTGGGAAAAACGCACACGCCGAATTCCACTAACTCGTGTTGGCTGAAGGTGGTTTCCTCCTCCATTCAAGTTTATGTAACATCCATTTCACTAAAAGGAGTGGAGGGAGGGAGGGATGGAGCGACAG